GCCTGTTTTTTTGTGCTCAAAACAAATTCTGTTCTGATGAAGAAAATCTTTTCACTAACTTGTTTACTTTGCACTGTTTTCAGTAAATGAGAGCTAAGTGCTAGGTTAGTCTTCAGCTTTCATAATAATGACTCTGTTTATGAGCAAGAAGAATGATTTGATGACTAATGTAACATTTATACTCATATTTTAATGCCAGTTTTGTATACACCATATTATCTACTGTAAAAGCACTTATGAAGGCTGACATTTTATGCTTTACAAAAGCGAGGACTTTTTCTTCCTCTTGATTTGTTCTCTTTTTTTAAAGCCCTAAGTTTTCCCTCAGCTGCTCACTACAGTAATCTAGAACCTACACTTGGAAGGGATGGAGCTTCATGGTTCCTTGAAAAAAATACAACCACCAATCTGGAAGAGAATTTTAACTTGTGATTAGCATGAAATTGGCAAAGAACAGTAAGAACTATGGATCAGCATGGAGCATTGTAGCTGCCTGTAGCAAAACAGAAGGGGCCACACAACTGGTCTTTAGGATTCAGTCATGCAACAGGTTATCTTGGAAATGCTGCAGTCCTGGTTCTGGCAAACAAAGTCCACGGTAAGAACTTCTTTAAAAAGAAGACTTAAGTTCTTTTATGTTTTTTTCACCATAAAATCTATCAGGAGATATAATGTGCTCTCTGTTAGTGTCACTGCCTTAGACATGGTGACGTTTGGCCATTTACAAACACTTACAGTGTGTAATAGTGAGTTCTGCTTTAAGCTGGGTAAACCAAACTGCAATATAATACTCTTCATACAATCACCTCATATTGACAGAGGATGAAATATTTGAGAACATCAAAACCCAAGTAAAAGATTATTCCATTTTAATGGAAGAGATTAAACGGTAATTTATAACTATTGTAAATATTGTATTACTTATTACTATTATACTATTACTATTATCATTATAAATATTGTATTACTTATTACAGAATTTGATGCCCTGTTTGTGAAATTCATTTCAGAGTCAAAAACTGAGTGATTCAGATCAACAATCAATACATTGGAAATGATAAATTTTTCATCTAGATTGGCATCCTGGTGCCTTTTGGTTTTCATTTGTATCTTGAAGGAAGCCCCACCCAACACAAGAAATCAGAAATTGCTAGCACAGAGTAAAAACAATTATTTCCTTCTTTCTTTCCTCTATTGCTATTCATATTCTAAATTAGACATGTGAATATTATCACACAGAATATTCCAAAACAAGCACCTTGCTTCCTGATATAACTCAACACAGTTTTATTAGATGGAAGCTTCAGAGACTTGTAATTAAAAAGTGTTCTAACACCTGCTCCAGGCTTTTGAGAAGTAATTGAGGCAAATCAAAATTCAGGCAATTTGCTCCAAGTCTGATTTTCTCTGCACTGAAAAATAAGCCCAAGGTTCCCATCAGAGAATTTTAGATCTTGCTGCAGAGATAGCATCCTTCTCTAATGAGCTCTTGAATCATAATTAACATACAGAAAGATAATTACAGTATTTTAGAACCATTTCTTCCAGAAAGCATTTTAACATAACCATGCAGCCTCAGAAACACATATAGAGCATAAAGTCTACACTACTGTAATTCAGACACAAAATTTGTTCCACTGGTTAACCACAACAGAAAACAATGAATCCTCCAGATCCTTTTCTGACCACCCTTCCTCTTGAATTATACATCTATTTTGGAAGACATAAGAATTTTAATGAAAGAAGTTAGTGTGAAGAAAACTAAGCAATGACAAATAGATAATGAATGATCAAGGTCAAGTTTTTAATTTACTTAGATTTTAAACACATGCAGATAGGATAATTTCAACTCTGAAATCTGTACAATACTATCTCTTACAAAGAAAAATTAAGTTCCTTCTGCTGCCAGCAACATAGGAAATAGGTGGAAAAAATTTCTAATGCTTAAGAAAATAGTAATGATTTAACATCAACAAGGCTGGTTCATAGCTCACATTTCCAAGTGTTTCATATTTTTGTTTATGTGCATAGGTTTCTTTATGTAGATAGGTTTTGAAAGCCATAACTACTAACTAGGGCTACATTTTGTCAATACAAGGTAATGTGAAATACTGATCAGTCCAAAATATGACTTAATAATCTAGTTATTAAATTATTAATCATATCTAATTAAGTGCTAGCAGGGCAGAACACAAAAAGATTGTTTATTTATTTATTGATTGAACAGAAGTGCAGCAAAAATCAGGCACTGATACATTTTCCTAATTGTCTCTGATTGGAAAACTAACAGAAGCAGTTGCTTCTGGAGTTTCAAGGGAGTTTTCTTGATATAAATAAATAAAAGGCTGAGCTGAACGAACAAATTCCCAGGTTCACTGAAGAGAGCCACAGCTGTCAGTCAAATATTTTAAGTTTTGTTCGTCCATTTGCCTTAAATGGTCTGTCACTGAAATTTTTGACAGAAAATTACATGCAATAAGAAAAGTCCTTGCAACATGCTAAACTTCTACACTCTCAACAGACTGCAAAAGTGGATGGTAAAATTGAGGTGTTGGTTTCCACACACACACACACATCCACCCATCTTGGGAATGTTTGATTGTAAAAACCTACACTGAATAGATACATACTAAGCAGTATCTGTAAAATACCAAATCAAACCCATTCCTTCTCATTATAACTAGATAAGACATATTCAGTGTTCAACAATTCAGTTTAATCTGTAATACCAATAAATTCAGACTTAAAATTCATGTACCTATCATGCAAAATTGCCCAAGCATACCCTGCAAACCTCAGGTGTCCTCTCCAAATAAACAATTTAAGAGCATTATGAAATAAGAATCTGCATTTACAGAATCTGTGCTGTATTTCATTTCACAAATAGGTTGGTACAAAATCCAGCGGTATCTGCTCTGGGACAGGAGCTCTACATCCAGCCAAAGGTGGAATACACAAAACATGGTAACTATTAAAATATAATTCCATTTGACTCTTTTTAACTTACACATACAGGCAAATGAAAACAGTCAAAGACAATGTTTTGATGACACTAATTTATAGCTTTACATAAAGACTATCTAATTTTTCTGCCCATTAAAATTTTTGTTGTGTGCAAGATCTGACATTGCACAGAACACAGTTCTTGCCTTAGGCATGTATTTTATCTGGCCTAGAAGCTTTCAGTCTTGTTTTGAAGTGGAGTATTTTTTACTATCACTTTCTGCCATGCAATATTAACCTGCAAAGTCAGGTGTTTGCTTTTCTGTATATATACACACACACATATAAAAACCTGTTTTACAAAGAAAGCATTTCAAGTCAGACAACAAATGAAACTGGAATTCCAAACAAATGTCTTTCAGCATTTTAAAAACTTCATTGGCATGTAGCTTCACATAGAAAAACTGATTCAAAACAATGCATGATGCTATACATCAGAAAAATATAAAGTACATGACTGAAAACCTGGATTTTTAGCTTGCAACTAAAACCAGTGCAAATATAACTTTCTAATAAGCAACTATACTGATTTCTGCAGAAATCACTTCAAAGTAAATGCTAGTCACTGGTATGTTTCTCATGTCAGTGAATGCTTTGTCACAGTGCAACCCATGCACCTGTCTTTAAAAAAGCAGAAAAAGTAATATCAATTCATAATAGATTTACAGTAACTATTGCTAGACACTTGCATTTTAAACTGGTAATTAAAATAATTAATACAATTCCTGGTGATCAAGTTTGCAACCATCAAGTTTGTAAGCATAGTTATATGCTTATAGTAAGCCCAGAAGAGTTTCAGCTATATCCTCGATATATTCTACATCTTTCTCCCTGCCTTTTTCCATTCTTAACCTAAGAGAGAAGAACCTAACATGGAACTAGCATTTTAACTTAAAATCACAGCTGAGGCTTGTTGACTTTTTTTTGTTTTATGCTCTGAGAAGAAAAAAGTTTCACAGTGGGTTCCCCAAAGACAAAAATATTTTGGGAAGAGGTTTAAGGATAGTATGCTTGCCCTAAATGCAAAATATTTAGATCCAAACATAATGCACAGCAGATGTTTAGGTCTGGATTTAAAAAACCAAACAATTATCTTTTACCTCCTGTACATCCTGCATCTTTGGCATAAATTTCAGCCACATCTGAACCAAGTGCTTGCCCTAAATGCAAAATATTTAGAACCAAACATAATGCACAGCAGATGTTTAGGCGTGGATTTAAAAAAACAATTATCTTTTACTTCCTGTACATCCTGCATCTTTGGCATAAATTTCAGCCACATCTGAACCAAAAATACAGAATAAAGGGGGTTAAAACCAACTACAGTAAAAAATCACATTTTGCCTTTTCTAAAGTTTCCCTTCTCTTTCCTAAAAACCAAAAAGCATCTAGATGTAAAGTCTTGGCTTCAGTGAACCATATATCCCTGTAAAAGGAATTCAGAATTCAGGCTGAAATGAAGACAGATTTATAGCTTTGCACACTACAGCTGTTAGTATTTGGGTAATGCAAGAGGAGAAAAATCAAGCAGCAATTCTATCTTAAGCTGAAGTACTAAGGTAACATTAAACACTTGGGGAAAGCAGGTGGAAAAAAAGTGCATGTGCTATTAGCTTATTATCATTATTACACATTTCTCAGTAATGACTAATTGTATACTTACGATAGAGTTTACAGGGTGAGCTGTAAATAAGCTATAAATCTATCTTAAGCTGAAGTACTAAGGTAACATTAAACACTTGGGGAAAGCAGGTGGAAAAAAAGTGCATGTGCTATTAGCTTATTATCATTATTACACATTTCTCAGTAATGACTAATTGTATACTTACGATAGAGTTTACAGGGTGAGCTGTAAATTGCTAATGCTCAGCAGCAAAACTTTAAAATCTGATTCTTATAAATAAAACACTACATAAGAATAGAATGGATTAAGGTATATTATATTTAATTACCTAGTTTTCTTTAAATTCCAGAAAAAGAAAATAGATTTCACATACCTTTGAAATATTACTTGATCGACTAGTGGAACGCCCTGGGGATTTGTCATTCTGGAAAACAAAATTAAAATATGAAAAAAAATTATGTAATTTGGATTTTACCTAATCTTTTCTGTGACTGTGACTGCACAAAGGTTCTCTTCTTCTATTTTTCTTTAGTTTGGCTACCAACTGTAGAATGGGAGACAGTTCAAGAAACAAAGCATCACAACAGTCTTGCAAATTACATGAATAAAAGTTTTTTAAAGTTCTGTAAGAAATTAATGCTTGCATTTAATTACTGTTGGTTTATTTTGCAGTTTTTTAGAAAAAACATTTTGAGTCAAAGATCAAGGAATCATCAGAGCTTCTCATGTAAACTGGTACTTATGTATGGAAACACATTTTCAATGATAAAAACTTCCCAGTTACACTGAACATACTCCTGCTTGAACAAAAAAAACCAACCAAACAAAAAAACAAACAAAACAAAAAAAAAGTAGAACTCATCCTCCAGGTAAATTAGTGCTACTAGATGATTTCCTGGACAGATACATGAAGAGAAAAACAAATTGTGACCATGCAAAGATGCAGTTCACTTTAACATCTCCTCCTCCAACCCCTCTCACTCTTGCGAACCACACACACACACACACACACCAAGACCACAGGCTGAAGTGCATTAATAAAGCGACCATGCAAAGATGCAGTTCAGTTTAACATCTCCTCCTCCAACCCCTCTCTCTCTTGCGAACAACACACACAAACCAACACCACAGGCTGAAGTGCATTAATAAAGTGCATGCCAAAGAGCTGCATTTCCACAGCACATGGTTGTTGTGGGGATTTTTCTAGACATCCAAATGAGGGAGTGGAGAAGGGGTTCAAACATTTCTTCAGTATTTACACTTTCCTGGCAATTGATTCAGTTTCATTTACACTGAAAAGGGAAGACATTGCAGAAACAGGGCTCATCCCCTTAGTAAATGCAATGTATCTTAAGATAATAATGAAAATATTTTTCTCAGCACTTGAGAATGTAGGTTCAAACACTCAAGTGAAACATTCACATCCGCAAGACTGATTTTTACCTACAAGGAGTTGAGTTAGATATCATGTGTGTCAGATAACTGAGATACCTAGGTCTGTTAGAGAACCTGCTTGGAGGAACAGGGTGTTGAAACCCAAAGCAGAGCTTTTGCTTCTGCAGCTTTATTTGCAATTCAAGCATCATGCAAACACATACATGCACACATGTCCACAAGAAGCTTTCAACTTGACTATGACCCATCTCTCCTCAACCTTTATTCAATAAAACTACAGAAAAATACAGAAGGTGCCAGCTACCAAAGACTAAATTTCCTCCTCCATTAACATAAATAGTCTAGAAATTAGTATTTCCAAAATACTTTGTGGCACAGAACAGCTCTGTGGTGGCAAAATGACAAAAAAAAAACATTGGGCAACTTGTTAGCAAACATTTAACCACTTTTATTTGTCATTTTTGTAGTAAAAAAGCCACTTTGCTCTCAACCCGAGTAAGCACATCCACAGGAAAAAATAGTTTTTAAACTACTTGCTTCATATACCTATTTATCTTTCTTCCTCCAGACTATAGATGGCTTATGTTTTTATTCCATCCCTCAGTGAAATAATTTTTTTTTGTACTGCAAACATAAATATCCTGAATCATCTCTCTTTCTACTTTATCTTCACTAGGACTAAGTAGCACAATGGGCATTTGTTATCAAAACCAAGCATCACCGAGTTCCCTGACCACACAGCACTCTACATTTTATTCTATTGTAGAAACTAAATCTCAGGAATTAACAACCTTCAGGTTTGTTTGTAACTCCTTTTTTAAAATTTATTTTTTAAAGAACAATTTAGAAAAAAATAAATTATTCATGTTATGCATTAATTTCTTACATTTTGTCCTTGAGGCTGGGCCCATTTTGAACAGGGAATAGATGATCCTTTCTGACCTGAAGTATCCTGTGATTCAAATATTACTTCTGTGGTATATCATCCACTGTAGCTTTGGTAATAAATTCATAATTGCTTATCCTTTCTCAATGACATTAAATGTATACAGTTTTGAATGTCTGCATTTATATCCACAGAAAACATACTTTGGATATTCTGGGTACATCATTTAGAGTACCTCTACTTTGACCTCAAAATAATAGAAGTTATGGACCCATGAAATTAGTTCCCATTTTGTGGTTAGAAATTATGAACAGGGATCACAGCTGAGAAACTCCCTGCTAAAAGCATGCAGCCTTTATTGTCCATCCCTTGGACTAAGAAATACTGACAGCATAGTGAACCCTGGAACTCTAACTTCTTTTCTTTCGACAATCCATCATTCAAGATTAATTTTCAAAATCTGTTCCTTGACTACAACTCTCCAGGCTTTTTACATGATTCATTCTTCTCTCTGGCACATTATCTCCTTCACTTGGTTTACAAAATTCTGACTCTCCAAACTGAACATTCACAGCATCCACATTCTGCAAAGTACTGCTCATACACTGAATTGTCTAAACTGAGAGAAAGAGTGCTGTCTCAACCATTCTTTGGAAAAACAAATAAATTTAATCATCATTACTAGGTTCAGGCATTTCAGGGTGATCTATCATGAAAACTACAGTATAAATAGAACAAAAAGTGTTGCACTAAATTACAGTACATAAATCAAATAGAGAATGCCTCACTGAAGTTCCTATTCAACTTGCAGAACTATTCATACAACAAAAGAACAGAATAGGAAAGTTATAGCAAAATCACTTTGGAAATGTGTCATTAAAGACTGTCTACGTGCTTCTGTTTTGATGATTTATGTTTACAAAGAACTCACAGTGTTATGAATAATTGATTTTTGTTATAACTATGTGAAGAGGAAATGCAGAATGCTTTTCCTACAAGCTTGTTAAACAGTAAGATTATATTTTTTGCAGATTCAATAGTAATTTACATCTTAAAAGTTACAATGAAACATAGAATATGCTGAGTTGGAAGGGACCCACAAGGATCATCAAGCCCACCTCCTGGGCCTGCACAGGACATCCCAAGAGTCCCATCATGAACCTGAGAGCATTGTCTAAATGCTTCTTGAACTCTGTCAGGCTTGGTGCTGTGGCCATTTCCTGGGGAGCTGTTCCAGTGCCCAAACACCTTCTGGATTAAGAACTTTTTCCTGATATTGAATCTAAATGTCTCTGACACGGCATCAGGCCATTCCCTCAGGTCCTGCCACTGGTCAGCAGAGAGGAGAGATCAGTGCCTGCCGCTTCTCTTCCTCTTACAAGTTGTAACTGCAGTGAGGTCTCCCCTCAGTCTCCTTTTCTCCAGCTGAACAGACCAAGTGACCTCAGCCACTCCTCATACAGCTTCCCCTCAAGGCCCTCCACCATCCTTGTGGCTCTCCTTTGGGCCCTCTCTAATGCCTTAGTATCTTTTTTCTGTTGTGGTCCCCAAAACTGCACACAGGACTCGAGGTCAGGCTACAGCACTGCAGAAAGACATAACCAAAGGATTTAACCAAACACATGTATATTTGAAATATCTACACATATTTTTGTGCATCAAGGAAATCACATTCAATTTCCTTAATCTTTGAATCAGATTATTTCAAAGAAAATAGCATTCACCTTTCAGAATTACACTTCTCAGCAGGAATTATTTAATGTCTGTAAAGAGCATTTTTGATCTCCGTGACTGAGTTTTCTAAATTCACACACACACAGAGTTCTGGCCTTTGAGCAAACTGAAAACAAGATATTCAGAGAGATCTCTCAATAAAATTCTTAAACTGTGTTTTAATCCAGTCAACAAAGTAGCAAAAGAGCTCCTCCCAAGAGTCCTCCTGGACAGGCACAAGATTTTTGGGTTGTCTTATATATGAAGACCACATTGAAATGCCTCTCCTTATTACCAGATGTCCTGTATCACCAATATCTCATCTCCTATATTCTATGCTACAGCCTTCAAACACTCATCATGTATATTTTCTAAAATGTTTTGGCTGAAAAGTAAAGTTCCTTTAACTATTCTACTTGAATATCGAGAAAAATCAGGTTTTGTTTGTAAATTTCCTATTAATTAGGTTTTACCAAGATCACTTCTACAGATATAATTGAAAATGTAATTCAGCCTTCAATATAAATTCTGGGAGGCAGACAAAGGAGAAATAACACCACAAAATTTCAGATTATGACATGTTAATAAAAGTGCTTTGGGAGGAATTTTCCATGTATCTGTCCCATCACATAAAAACAACAGAAAAAAAACCCCTCCCTGTATGCAAATGATAATTAAAGTAATTAAATATAAGTGCAAAATCTGTTTTTTTACAATAGTAAACTCCTGCCCAAACTTCATTTCAGCCCAAAACTGAGTTTTTGAAGTAACATTATTTTCAGGGACCATCTTAAATCTAAACCCATTAAACTTTCTAATACTTAGATACAGCTTCTTTTCTTTTCTTTTTTCTTTTTAAATTTACAAATACGGCTTATACTGCCTATAAACACATTTTTGTTTTTAAAGCAAGAGAATAAAACCCTGACTGGGCAGAGGAAAAGGTTAGTAATAACACATTTCTAAAATACTGCTGTGAACAGTTCAGGCTCTCATTATAAAGAGGAAAGTAGGAAATTAGCTAGTTGCTTTCTGGCTCATATATAAATATTCATATGCACGGTTAACGATTTTAAGTCCTGCTGGGCAGCACAGCAAATTTTAAACTAATCCATTTGTCTGGTTTCTTTCCTTAGCTGCCCCTTGTTTGCTCTGGCTATGAGAATCACTCGGGCTGACCCAAGCACCTTGCTAATGAATTGCACTTCATCGCTCTGAAGTGAGCACGAAAGCATCAAGAATTCACCAGAATATCTCAGTTCATAGGAGAATCTTAAGCAACAGCTTTTCCCACACAAATACAACCAACGCACCCTCCAAAAAACCCCATTCACAAAATATTTTGTCTTAGTTTTCTTTTTAGTCGACTGATTTTTGCATCCCAGTGGTGCCACATGCTGCTTCACACATCTGCACACAGCCTTGGAGTA